AAGACCCTCAATGCTTCTCAATGAGAAGCATTGGATTGGTCCAAGATCATCTCAGTGAGGATCTCAGAAGAACACAGAGATTGGGATGCCACTGGATGAGAGGCAAGCATCTCTTTATTATATTAATTTGTAAAGGGGTAATCTAAAGTCACCATTAAAATGCTAACGTTCTAAATACATATATATTTATAACGCCAGAAAGACCCTTTAATATTAACTAAAACAACCTTTTCACTGGATTTGTGTGACACTGAGAGGGCTGTGGCAAAAAAAAAGGAAAAAAAAGAAACGTGTAAGAATCCTTGATTTACTTATACCCCTTGTGATTGGAATGTGAGAATGCGTGTAGAACAGTCCAGTGAACTCACACATCCACCCTCTATAGATGTAAATGGAGCAGGTAGTGGTCCATCCATAGCAGTAATCCAATAAAGATGTCTAGTTACAGCACCTGAATTTATATAGACAAGCCCTATAAGTATGAGAACGAGAACACAGCTTTAGTAATCCCCGTATGCACAAAGGAAATGCAAGGCCAGCACAGAGTAGCTCAGGAATGTCAAAGAAACAGAAAAGGGGAATATAACTCATTCTTGTAGTGGCTTATTTATAAAGTCACATCTCTCTCAGAATCAATGAAATGGGACAGGATGTACAATAACCTGTCTGGGCAAATTAACCCTTTGAAATGAATTCAAAATCTATTTGGGCAAATTAAATCTTTGGCACGAGAAGGGTGAGAATATCTATTTAAATAAATAAAGGAATTATATAAATATGATGAATTCCTGGTTTCTTAGTCCTGTAATCTCCATTTACTCTCTTTAGATATGGGTTTTATTAGAAAAACAATTAATGAGTGGATTGAACAACTATTACGAGAATGTATTTAAAAGGGCAGCCAATTATTTATTAACTAGATTTATGAATTAAACAATGCTATGATCACTACCCATGATCCTCTAGATTGTAAGCTCGTATGAGCCGAGTCCTCACCAAACAATTGTTTCTGTAACATTTTGTAATTGTCTTATTTATCGTTAAATATCCCCCTTTATAATATTGTAAAGCGCAGCGGAATAAGTTGGCGCTATATAAGTGCCAATGTTAATAATATTAAGGGTCCCTGTAGAGTCCCTTGTATTGCCTTTTCTATACCTGCTGTCTCGCAGGTTTCCATGCTGTAGGCATAGACAGTGTGGGAGAACCTACCACCAATTTCATCTGTTTTGCCCCATTATGCATATTTTTTCCCTTTTTCGTTCAGGGGTTATTGTGTACGAACCTCCTCCATTCGTCTCTCAAACGAGGACCGCCCCTGTACTCCATTAGAACATTCACACCAGCAACTTAAAGCGGCACTGTCATGCCGAACTTACCTTTCCTCAATCTCTTCCTCTTCTCCCCCTCTCTCAGGATCTGTTCTTTTCTTCCTGTCTTCTTTAGTTTTCTTTAAAATCATAAGACAAAGTAGGGACTCTTTGCCTTATGGAGGATTCCTCCGCTTGACCAGCGGAGGAGCAAAGTGTGCTTCATTTCCGCTGGTCAGAGCAATTTTCCCATGATCCTTACCTTCCCTCTGTGTTCCCACGATGCTTCCTGTCACTTTACACAAAACTGCCGAATTGCATTCTAACTGAATGAGAACAGTATGTTCGTTTCTTTTAGAACGCAATTCGGCACTTTATTCGGATCGGAATTTCATTCGAATGAATGAAACTCTGATCCTATTCTTGCTGTGGCTGCATCTTGCAGCCGCTTAGTAGATAACTCCCTAATTCCCACGGTATCAGGGAGTTATCTACTAAAAGGCTGAAAGACCTAAATTGGTCTTTCAGCCAACTTTACTAATACCAAGTAAAAATTTACACAGCGTGGGAAAATTCAAAAGAACTTTCCCACGCTGTGTAAAATGACACAGAGCACTGTGATTGGATGGATTTCAAGCCATCCAATCACAGTGCTCTGTGTCATTTTACACAGTGGGAAAATTCTTTTGAATTTTCCCACGCTGTGTAAAATGACAAAGAGCACTCTGATTGGCTTAAACCCACCAATCAGAGTGTTCTTAGCCTAATTGCAGGGCGGGGCAAGGCTTTATAAGCTCAGTCTGCGCGGAGCCCTCCTTGGGTGAAGATGGATTATTTTTATGCACTCTGGTTTTTTCTTTTTCGTCGGGATTTTTTTTTTTTTTTTAGTTCGACGGTTATGATGGTTTTTTATTTGGCCTTTTTTGGGGCTGAAAAATGAAGATTTGAGAAAAAAGAAGACGTCTAATGGTAAGTTTACTTTTATTTTACAGGTTAGTTATTTTATTCCCCCCTCACTATTTTTTAGGGTGAGGGGGGTAGGTAGGGACTTTTTATTTGGTGGGGTGGGTGACTAGGGGCTTGGGGACCCCTAGTCACCTTGGGGGGGGGAATTTACTTAGGGCCCCCACCCCTAGGTGTGGGGGCCGGGGGGGAGGACAGTAGGTTCCCCCCCATTATCTTTATGGCCCCCACCCGCCGCCCAGGGGTGGGGGCCGGAGGAGGGGTGGACAGTAGGTCCCCCCCTCATTATCAATATGGCCCCCACCCGCCGCGCAGGGGTGGGGGCTGGGGGGGCAGTAGGTCCCCCTCCTCATTATCAATATGGCTCCCACCCGCCGCGCAGGGGTGGGGGCCGGGGGGGATAATAGGTCCCCCCTTATTGTTCATTTTAGGGCCCCCACCCACCGCTCAGGGGTGGGGGCCGGGGGGGGGGACAATAGGTCCCCCCCCCTATTAGTATTTAGTGCCCCCACCAGGGGAGGGGCCCTTTTTTTTTTAACAGTGAGCAGCCACTGTTTAATAGACATGCCCCTATTCGTGGTATTGCGAGTAGGGGCACAATTTACTAATACTAAGTAAATTTTACTTAGTATTAGTAAATTAATAGGGGGCGGACCGAACATCGCATATGTTCGCCGTCCGTGGGGAACGCGAACACGCTATGTTCGCCAGGAACTATTCGCCAGCGAACCGTTCGGGACATCACTACCTGTGACACTGTATTGTAGCCCAGAAATTTTTTACATCTATATTTATTTACTAAAACATTTTTTTTATTTATTTCACAGCCCAGGCAGTCCCCCTGCAGGCAGCACTATGGACGCTTATTGCGGCCATGTGACCACTCTTTCAGAGCGATCACATGGACCGCGAGGGTCTAATTTGCAGAGGGGGGACTGTCAGGCAGCACCCCCAGACTGGGAGCAATGACGATCACCTCAATTGGCCATACTTGAGTATTAACACCCTTTTTACTTAGATTTGTAATGGGGGCTATAACAGATGAAAATTGCCTTAGAAATCTGGGGTAATAAATTGCAAAACCAGTAAATATTTAGATGGCTTTTAAACACTATGGCAAGGCTCAGTGTAATACTGCTTCCAATTTCCTTGGATCCATTTTAAATCCAGAGGCAGAGATAATGTACCCTAAAACCTGTACTTCAGATTGATCAAAAGGGCATTTTTCTAATTTACAATATAAGCCATTCTCTAATAACGCCTTGAGAACCACTCTCACATGATTGTGATGTGTACGAAGATTAAGAGAGAAAATGAGCATATCATCAAGAAATACGAGGACAAAAGAGTGAATATAATCTCTTAAAACATAATTTATTAGGTCTTGGAAGACAGCCGGAGCGTTACATAAACCAAAGGGCTTGACCAGATATTCATAATGCCCACTTCTAGTGTTAAAGACTGTCTTTCTAAACGTTTTTTAAAGACCTCAATATATAGAAAGAAAAATGAAATAGTGGACAAATTAATCAATATTATTAAACTTGGAAAGGATACAAAATTACTTTCGAAATGTATAGTTATAATACAAGCTATTAAAGGAGTCATTATCCCCAAGGCAAAAGACAGGTGGACTAGAGATCTCAAAAAAGAAATTTAGATCATAGAGTGGTATGCTGCATTACAAACTGTATACTCATCAATTCATTGTCTTAATATAATGGAAACCCATTACAAGATTCTAAATAGGTGGCACTTAACATCTCAAGAACTAAAGAAGATGTATCCCCAGGATAGATATTTCTGCTGGAGATGCGGCGTTGACATAGCCGATGAACTACATATATGGTGGGAATGCCCTTTAATTAAATCTGGGTGGAAAAAACACTTATTGAATATATTAATAAATTGCTAGGATTGAATTGGGTGTGGACGGAAGAGATTGCAATATTACATCTGAATTTAACATCTCTACTGAAAAGCAAAACATGGTTTTTGATCCATATTATAATGGCCTTTAAAAGCTCTCTTGCCATACACTGGATAACTTCTAAGGTTGAATCGTGGCAACAAATTAAAGAGCTTGTCAAATTCCAGTATAAAATGGAACGAGAAATTGCCTCTAATTTTTGTGTCAATCGAGAGAAATACTGTATTTGGGACAACTGGTTAAAGATCTTAGGAGTGACGTGATAAAGGTTAGTTAAGATCCTGAGATGATCTGAGTTGAGTATATAATAGTCTCCTCTCCTTCTACCAAATGGCCCTGCCTTCCCACACTGCACTTAGGTAATTCAGGTAATGTTGTTATCTTCACACTGTATGTCTATATATGTAAGTGTACATTTTATATGTAACTTTTGATATAATATATAATAATGTATATTTTGAAACCAATAAAAATGTATTGGAAAACCCCCCCAAAAAAACCTGTCTTCCAATTATGTCACTCTTTTATTCGTATTAAATTATAGTCACTTCTGAGATCC